AAATGATGCTGTCAGAAAAACACAAATATAAATTTTGAACTGCATTACCAAGAGTATTGTTAAGACGGGAGGTGATAGAAGCGTTCTACTAAATGCTGACAGCTTCTGCTGGAGTTTTCAGTCTAGTTCTGGGCTCTTGTAATTTAAGAAGGGCATGGAAACACTGGAAAGGACTCAGAGGCGATTGACAAAGATGATAAAGGGGTTGGAATGCAAGCCACACAAGGAAGGGTTGAGAGAACTAGATGTGTTTAATTTGGAGAAATGAGGATTAAGTTTTCAAATATTTGAAAGACTGCAATAAAGAAGAGGAAGAATGACTCTTCTTCCTTATCAAAAACAGCAAGACATGACACAGGTTTCAACTGTAGAAAAGCAGATTTGGGACAGTGGAAGAAGCTGCTCAGGGAAATCGGGGAATCTCCTTTTCTGAAGGTTTTCAAGAGGCTGGATAGGCGTTTGTCTAGGACAGTTTGGGAACAGCACATCCTGCATTTTTGCTGATGGCTGGACTAGATGACCTTTGAGATTCCTTTCATCTTAATTATTCTCCGATTCAAATAACAGATAGGTAAAAACATGAACATAGTAAATTTCACTTCATCATAAAAATGGTCCAAAACAAGATGTCCAATTATTTTTAACAGTTCTAATATTAAATATTTTAAGAACCCTGATAACATTAATCTGACAAGAATGAAAGGTTAGTGAAGTGCAGATAAGGATTGCTGACTTGATTGGCAAGTCTTCCCACAAACCTCTTCCCTTTATCACTAATCCAAAATTGTGTCCTGCAATCTCTCTTTTGATGCAGCATGCTAAACAGCTGAAGCTCCTCTTTTTCATATTTTTAGTACATACTGATGTAACAGGTCATTTGCAGGGATACTTACTCAAGTACTATATTAAAATGAATAGGAAAATTAAATTCAGTGCCAAGATGCACTAATATATATATAGAGAGAGAGAGACAGACAGACAGACAGACAGGCTAAAACGATGTGACAGGAACATTATTTATTTGCTTTTCCATGATGTATATGATGTTCATATTTTCTAAATAATACATAATGCTATTTATAGTTATACTACCCTGTTCATTTCAAATATGAAAAGTGCCCTGTGAGCATTAAGCCTCGCAATACTCCTTTGCTGTAGGTAAGTGGTATTACCCAGTAGCTAAGGTAGATCGGGAAGAGGAAGGAAACGCACATAAAGCTCCACGGAAGAAACAGGAGGCAAAGGAGTACTGCCAAAGCAAGAGAAGGGGAAGCTGTCGCTGTCACTCCATTTTTAATAGAAGAGGATAAGAGCTGTATTAAAAACCCTTCTCTTCTCCATTTTCACTCTTGCTTACACTTGCTCTGACCAGCCCTCCAGGTACCAGTCCCACAGCTCATGTGGCTTCCAAATTTTTAATTGCGTTCTGGGAGCTTTCAGTAAACTTAATGAGGTTTTGGGAGATAACAACCTCCCATAATTCCTTTAAGATATTTCCAACAGCCCCTCATTACTGGCACAATTTCCAAAGTCTTTTCCCCCAAATGCAAAAGAATTCTCAGATCTCTCTCTTCACTCAGCATATATCATCATTACAGTAGCACCTAGGAAACCCAAGTGCCAACAGTGTCTCATGATGCTACATACTGTGTATGCACACACAATTATAGCTTTTGCCGAACATTTGGTTTAAAAGTTATCCTTATTTCATAGTTGGTGAACTGAGGCACAAAGAAGGGATTTAGCCAAAGTCACACAGGAAGTTTGGCTGAACTAGGAACTAAGGCCAGATCCCTTGAGCACTGCAGAACATTACCAAGACCATACTTCCTCTCTGTAAATTGTCCACTGATGCTTTAGAATAGTGACCATCTTGGGTGCATCCCCATGAGTACACACATGGGGTTTGAAGTGCCTCAAAGCCACTTGAGACACCACAAACTACAGACGGTGCATGTGCACTTGTGTACCGTGCTGCTAATTTGCAGCACAGCAGGGTTTTTTTGACACAGTGTCAAAAAACAACTGCTGCTAAAAAAAGCAGCACAGAGCATGCAGCAGCAGCGCATGCTGTCAGAAACCAGAGCCTGGCCAGCCAGAGCCACATTCTGGCTGCTGGCCAGGCTCTGAGAAGATGGCTTGATGCTGCTGCTACCCTAGGAAGCTCCCAGGTAACACTGCTGGGGCCAGAACAGGTGCTGACCCCAGCCTCCCGTACCCGACCTGGGTCCCTTTGCTGTGCACCTGTGTGTGTGCAGGGTCATGTTCAGGGACAGATAGCAGCAGGACAAATATGTGCCACTATTTGTCCTGTGGGAAACATGCACCCCTTCATGTGTGCATTCATGAGGATGTGCCCCCTGTGTCTAAGGTGGACTCTGGCAAAGTAGTAGAGGATGTTCCAGCAGCATAACACATGAAGCTGAAGGAATTTTGGTTATAATATCCTACCTCTGAAGAAACTGGCTCTCAACAGTACTTGGTAATGAAGTTTGCCAGCTGGAACACACCACTTTTGGATCCTAATCACAAGTCTTGTGGAAACTGAGTTGTTAGGGTAGGTAGCAGTGGCTATGTAGCTTCGGAATGAGCACTTTCATGTACTTCAGTGGGAAGTGAGGCCTGACATTTCAATTGCAAGGGAAGACACAAAGAATGGGAACTGGGTATCCTGGATATTTGCAAATCAGGTAGACTGAAGTTGGGAAGCACAGAACACCATTTCTGGGAAGGTGTCAGAGTCATGGGAGAGGAATTAGAGCTAATCAGACAATATATCAAAGTAATTCAGTGTTAAATAAAAGGAGTTTCCAATTTGAGAAGGATAACATTTGTCTGCATGCTGTTTCCTGTAATACACTGAGAGTACATTAATTGACATTAATTCTATTTGTGTGGATTTGTGGACACATGCATAGGATAACCAGGCAAAGCAGAAGATGCTAGAAGTTCTAAGGTTTTTCTTCTGTCCTCAGGAAATCTGGATTCTACATTCTAAGAAGGAGGTAGAAAAGAACATTATCCCCCTACCCCTTGATTCTGGATGACCCTGCTTTTGCTGTGCATAATGAACCTATCCCCAAGTTGTACAGGGCAAAGGAGATGCTAGTTTGGCTCTACTCTCAACAAGTGAGCACAGGACAATAGTGGAGTAAGTTGTTAGTGATTAATATTAAATCTGTTGCATAACATGTAAAACAAAGGTAAAGTCTTTCACAAACAGCCAGGGAAGTATAACAGGATCCCACCCCAGGGTTGGCCATGACAACCCTGGAGCTTCCCTCAGCCTTTCTTACCTTTACTTTCTTTGGACCATCTCCCCTTTGACTCACCTGCCACAACTTGATGCAATTATGTTTTAAGAAAAAAGGGAGGCTGCCCCTGGGCTCCCCAAGTGAGATCTCAAACTCATGAACACAGGTGTCACTGCTTATGGACTAATTACATGGCCTCATCTCCCCTTTTAGCCATGCCCTAGCCTCGGAAATGTTACCAATCATTGAGTGTTAAGCCCCATTGTCTAACCCAGTCCATCTCTCATCCATGAGCCTTCAGCCCCTTTGTCAACTCGTCAATGCAGACCTCTAAACTTGGAACAGTCTCCGCCACTGTTGGGGCTTCCAGCCCTGGTGCCTTTAACTCTCCTAGCCCTCCCTGGGCTTCGGCCTCTGTAGTCTGAACAATCTGAACCTGCCTTGGGCTTCGCCCGGCATTCTCTGCCCGTCCTGGGCTCAGGTCACTATCTAACTGTTCCTGGCTCCTCCAGGGCCCAGGCCTCTGGACCCTGCCTCCTGGGCTCAGGCCTCATTACCTCCAACAGACTATCCCTCCAGAGCTATGGGCCCCAGGCCTGCTTTTTCTTGCCCCTTAGGGGCTATGGATCTCTGACCCCGATTCTCACCTGTTACAGGCTACAAATCCCTGCCCCTGCCTGATGTCATCACTCTGGCTGTGGTCCTGCTCCTCTGCCTTGGCCCCTATCCCTCAGGCCCTGCCCACACTCAGGAGCCAGTTGAAATTTCCAACACCCCTAGAGTCTCATGGCATTTTTACACATAAAAGCACTCGACACTGTGACACTTACAGTTGTATAAGCAGTGAAATGTGCATCAGCCCTGAGAAAATGGTGGCAGCACATTTTTAAACTAACACGCACAGACGGTGCTTTAGTTCAAAAGCACACTGCCGCCATTTTCTGTGCACTGACACACATTTCACCACTTACACAACTGCACACAATGCAGCACAGTGTGCATCAACTTGCGTGCAAAGCAGACTCAATTAATTGAGTCTGCTCTGAAGCAGCAGATCTTCGGCGTGTCGCAGGACCAAAAAGTATATGTATAAATGCCCTCAGTCCCTAAACCACTAATCTTGCCCACTCCAGCTCAGGTGTTAGTCAGGTGCCTTGCTGCATCCTTTCTGCTCCTCTCCATGGCTTCCAGATCAGACTGCCTGCCCAGCTCAGGCCCTGGATTTATACCCTACAAGTCCAGCCCCCTTTGGGTCATGTGTCTTCCTTGAATTACCTCTGCCTCACCTGCAGCCTGCCTTCTCTGAAAGTAGCAGGAGCAGCAAGCTCCCTGCTACAGGAAGGAAGTAGCAACCTATGGACAACAGACTATTTCACCTGAAATCTTGTACTTATATTAACAGTCATATTAACAGGATTGTACATACTTACATTAGAAGTACTCAATGTACACACTTTCAAATTAAGTCATAAACACTTGATTTATGAATTACTAGGTGAAACTTAATGGCCTGTATTAGGTGAGCATAAGGGTCCTTTCTGATCTTACAACTATCAAAGCGAGGTGGGGCATTACTCAGTACTTCTCAATATATACTACCCAAGACTAGAACAGAAGAATTACTCAGGTTTTTGCCTAGTCACAGAATAAAAAGCTGTTTAAAATGGTAGCGTCATCTGTCTAAGAGTTGTATATTCATGTTAGAGCAATAAGAGCATTTGGTTTGGAAAAAAAAAATCAATGTACTTGGCAATTTGTGAATTGTTTATTTCAATAAATGGATCATGACTCAATAGATAATGTAAATAAAACAGCAGAAATGGCTCATCATTCAGAACCTATTGATCTCTGAAACTGTTAGAAGACTGCAAGAATCCCTTTCTACCCACAGGAAACTGTACCTTGGGAGAAATAAGCAAAAATCTTTAAAAAATTGGCAGCAACAGTTAAACCCATAAAGATGCAAGTTTTTGTATACATGAGCCAATAAACTCTAATCCAGCATATTGGATCTCTACAAGAGCAGAGTTTCACAGCAATAAGTCAGTGTAGAATTTGGCTTGAGGTCTTTTATGCCTTGTTAATGATTTCAATCCTAACTCTCTCTCAGAAGAGAGATTTGAAACATAGTAAAAAAACTGGTATGCTTCTAATGGGAACGCATAAAAGCCCACCGACTTCCTATTAAGAAACACCTCCAAGGACTAATTCCAGAGATGTACTGAATAGTGAATACCAGCCTGTCTTCTTGAAGTCAGTGAGAGCTGTAGCTACTCAAAGCAAGTTTTTATGATTTGGCCTAAAATAGAAAATTGTACGAAAAAGGGTGTTTTTCACCCAAATATACAGAATTTTGATGAATTTCTACAAATTGTTCACACAAGAAAATGTTTTTTTCATAGACTTCTCTATGAAAAAAACTTTAAAATTAGCACATATTGTAAACAGAATGAATTATTAATGAATAAATGTGCGATTTGGCTCTGAATTAGCAAATGTTTCCAAATGATTTGTGTGGATGGCTTTGTTTTGCTTTACTGTAAACATAGCAATTATAAGGAAACAATTTTCTTTAAGAATTTAAAATTACCATAATTGTATGGTTTGATACATTTGAAATATTCTTGCACTCTTCTGTACTTACAATACAGAGCCATATATCCATTCACAAAACTGGATTCTTGTAATGTAGTTTGAGCCTGAAGATAATTACTTTACATTAAATAACATTTTGTAAGAAACTCAAATCAGAAAAATTCTTTTCAAATATCAAGCCATGATTCAGGATTGCACCACAGAATACGTCAGACAGAAATATGGTAAATAGGAATTTAGGACTTGTAATTCAGGATCAGAACCATGGTCCTTCTGGTCAACTCCTATTCCGGCAGTGGCCTGTACGAGAAGGAGGTATAAAAAACCCAACAGTAATGTGGAGCAATCTCTCTCCCAGCCCTTATCCCTAATTCTTGAAGAATGACAAATTGTCAAGCACATAGTTTTTATATTCCTTTTAGAACCCTTCTTTTTTAATTAAACATAACTGTTACCCATATAAGTGTTCAATTTTATTGCAAGTCTTCCTAAATTTGTGGCCTCAGTGACATGAAGGTAACAATGACTTCTACAAACTAAGGGAGAAAATAGTGTCTTTGTCAGATTTCAGTTTGCTACTTAAAGTCCCTACTCCATATCATGCAGGAACTCTGTGGCATAGCAGAGAATTGAGCACAGGGAACTGACTCCTCCTCTATAGACTTGTTCTTTCCAAAACTGTTTTACTTAGTAGCTAACAAAATTTAAACCCTTCTTTCTTTTTGTTTGTTTGTAAACCCCTCTCCCACTGGCACAGGAACCCAACCGGGGTCTGCTTGGCAGAGGGTGCAGCAGCTCCTGCCTACCTTTGCTCTGCTCACCACTCCAACGGCTGGCACACTGAGGTGGGGGGTTTAAATCCCCTCCCCCCTGCCCGCATGGGACCCCAGCCAGGGGTGCAGCACACTGAGGCAGAGAGGAGGGATGGGGTTAAACCTTTCTACCTGCAGGAAATAGTACCTCAGGAGAAATAAGCAAAAATCTTTTAGAAATTGGCAGCAATAGTTAAACCTATAAAGATGCAAGTTTTTGTAAACATGATGCAATAAACTCTGAGGGGGATTTAAATCCCCCTCCCTCCCCTCTGCCTCAGTGTGCCAGCCCGGGCCAGCATCTGTTCACACCCCGCATCCCCTAGGTGGACGCTGCTCGGGTCCCATGTCAGTGGGAGAGGGGGTTTAAACCACCCCACTCCCTCCCTCAGCGTGGCAGCCGGGGGCCAGTGTCTGGCTACACCCCCACCTCCTCCGCCTAAGTGGTAAGGGGTGGAAAAGCCTGTGAGTAGTTTATGTGCAATGAACTTCTGTCCTGTTACAGGTTTAAACTGGTTTCTGATCATTTAAAGCAGTTTATGCATAACTTCTGTCCCTAGCCTATCACTGTACTGACTTTTAATGAGAGCGTACTCTATTTTAGCATATAGCTTCAAGACTGGTAAACAACTATGCACTTACCTGGAGAGTGAATTTATCCTTACTCCAAATAGTGCTTTCTGACTACATATTGCTGTGGCATAAGCAGCTCCCAAACTGTAGTAATTAAAAGTTCCTCTAGTTTTCAAAGCTTCTTATAGCAGACCCAACACTAATTAGAAGACTTGAAAAAGGGAGAAGATAGTTTTGGGGCAGGTATGTGAGCCCACGTGTATTCCGGCCCTGCCACTGTGCTGTAATGCTATGTATCTTCATCATGCTCTCCCGCTTCTCTGCCATGCCTTGACGAGTTGTTTCTTTTAGGTAGATTGGATGACTCGTTGGCAGAAGATCCATCTGGTGGGGTCCTGGTTCTTCTGCAGGGCTCCACCTTCCCTACAACCTGCCCCTTTCCTGAGGCAAAAAAGTCCCCATGGCCTTGTGTGGGGAGGACTCCCTGGATCGGATCCCTGGATTGCTCTGTCTCTTGTTTGTCACTCACTGGTTCTTGTCCTGGTTCCTGTGAATTATCTACCCACGGCTGAGTTGTTTGTCCATCCACATATGTGACATTCACTATACTCTTTATGCCTTAATTACCCTGTGTCTTTTTTCACATAGGGCAGGGATTCATTTTGCTAGTCCTTTAGATCAACTTATTTATTATCTTTTCCTTTTGGTTTATCTTTCAAACTTACTTCAGGCTTTACAACCTAATCTACTTGATGCCTCCTGGATCCTAGCTGCAGGGCCCTTGTACTCACAAATCCATATCCTCTGGGCCCAACCTTCGCAGCTTAGTTAGCCCATTAAAGTAAATGACAGCCTATTTCCCAATCTGGTCCCACCTGCATCCAAATTCCTAAATTAATTATGTGTTCTTTAATTTTCCCTGTAATCCCATTCAGGGTATGGCTTAAACCCTTTTCTTTTACTTTTTATTCTTCAGGGCTTATCATGTAGCTCCCTGAATCTTTGCCTGCCTGGGCTTGCCTCTAAACCTCGCCACTGTCTTTGTGATCTGAGTTTTCTCACCCCCGCCAGCCTCCACTGGGTCCCTGGGACAGACTTCCCTCTGGATCCTGTCTCTAGTGCGGCCAGTATGACTTCCCCTTCCCAACTGCCCACTTTACCTAGCTTTTCCTGCAAGGGCAAGTGGCTGTTCACTCGGGGCTCACCTGGGTCTTGGCAACCTGGGAGAGTTCAGTGGTGTGAGTCCTCTGCTGCCCCAGTGCACGCAGCTCCCGGCTCCACTGCACTTCCCCTTCCTCGGGAATGCCAAATATTGAAGGCCTTCTTGATATCTGTTTAAATTCCCCGCTCTCTTCTTCTGGCCAGTCAAAGCAGGCTCCCTGGTGCACATGGTTCAGTGCTCCTGGAGGCCTGCTCACCTCCGGGGTTCTTCCCAGACACTGTTCCCCAGAGCACCGGGGGCATGCAGCCCTTCCAGACCCAGTCAGGTAAGTCTCTTGCCGGCACAGCTGGGCCCACAGGTCTGTAGCAGGCCCCAGCCCCCGCTAAAGGGTACTTCCACCACTTAATGTTTATCAGACTATAAATGTTAGTAGTCCTAAAACTAACTTGTTCCCCTCACTTTTAAGGCTTTTAATATTCAGTTTCAGGCTGCTATTAGAAAACTTTGAAAGCAAAGGGAGATAACAGATAGGAAAACTGACTAACTTCTGTCATTTTCAAGGCTTCTAATAGCAGTATGTTGAAAGCTGCTTCCTCATTGTTTCTAGTGCAGTTAAATGGGAATACAGTTAGTTACAAAATAGACAATGAAAATGAAACATTTTATGCGCATAAGTTTTGTATGACTTAACAGGTATTCAGCTAACCAGTATTATGTAAGTAACATAGCATTGTGTCATGCAGCTAAGTGAATAATGCACTTACCTGAGATGTATAAGTGGAATACATTTCATTTACAAAATATTTCAGATAAAAATAACAATAAGACACCTGAGGATGTAGAGACTGATTTCCATTTATCAATGCATTTGTGGACTTAAAACCAATGGAAGTTTATTGAAATCATCTTACTATTTCTTCACTTTCAAATTATTCTAGGGCCACTTTCACTTACAAAAATGGAAAATACTACATTTGCTTGGAAACAATTATACATGGAAAGCTTATTTTTCAAAATTCAATTATATGAGTGAAAGGTCCATTTGTATCCAGTTTTAACACCTGCCTGTTTCCATACGTGCCATACTTGACAACAACCCCTGCTTCAGCACACTTGGTATTAGCAGCCAGTTCTTTTTCACACTGAGTCACAAACTGGGAGTAAAGCTCCATCCCTTTTTCTTTTTCTGTATTGTTATGGTACTGCATGTTTCTTCCCTTCAATTTGCCACCCAGCGTGGCTTGGGGTATTATTAGAAGACTGCCTGGTAAATCCAGAACAGAAACATACTTGCCACTTTCAGTTTCACTTAATTTAACATTCAACAGGGTATTAACTGCAAAAAAACAGAAAAGAAAAAAGGAAGACAACATTTTTGCATCCAAAATAATTTAAAACCTAAATGTTGAAAATTAACACATTAATATACCTATTAGGTTATTAAAATAAATTATTATAATAAAATATTAAAATGCTTCATTATGATTGCTATGTTTGAATAATAATTTGAACAATAATCAAATTACAGAGTAATTAAGGAAATATATTTCAGAGCAGGAAAAAAGCTGAATTTTAAACTAGACAAAATAAATATCTGTCCAATATAGTAATTAAAGTTATTTTATACAGATTAAGACTTTTCATAATGAAAAAATGTGAAAACCATACAAGATATTAATATTGATCTTACCAATGTAATATATGTATCTGTGGACTTCATGATTATGGTAGGAAGGGTGGTTCTCTGAAACTCTAAGAGTTAACTCAGGTGAAAGCTCTCCACAGGACTCAAGGAATCAGGCATCAACTCTAATACAGAGCCCAGACAGAAGTGCAGTTCCTGGTCTAACTCATGGCGCTTCACAGAAAGGACTGCGAGTTAAGCTGATCTTCCTGACCCAACAGGAGGAGGAGGAGGACAGGCCTGAGCTCCAATTTGGAGCCAATCCAGGGAGAGAGGCTGTCTCTCTGCAGCCTATTCCCATAGCCCTCGCACCCCACCCCCCGGCCACCGGTGCGGTCTCAGAATGGAAGGGGAAAAAGGCAGGGGAAGGAGGTCCATTCTGGGTTTTTCCCAGCATGCACAGAAGTGGGGGTGTTGGTGGACTGGAGTTTCCCACTCCACCTCCCCACCCTTCAGCACTGGCTGGGCAACCCTCAGAATGAGCTCCCTCCGCTCCCTTTCCCTCTATTTCTTTCTGAAAACAGTGCTGGGAGCAGGGCTGGGCATCTGCAGACTCAAGTTAATGCAGGTACTCTGCTTTGGAGCACCTTCATCTCAGCCCTCATACAATGTAATGAGAGTTCAGATTGTTACAGGATTGGGCCCTTTTAAAGTGCTGTGCAGCCAAGTGTTTGTGTTAGGTCACAGCTGTAGAGAGCTTTCAGGGGCCAGATCAGGCAAAAATTGTCACTTCTGCCTGTGCCCTAATTCAACTGCCTGATGCTCAAACAGACAATACAGCGAATGCATGTTAGGATTTCTCCCTTCCATCCGGGAGGAAACGCATAAGACAGTTTGACCATGTGCAGGTGGTAAACTGAGGAAGGGCACTTTGTGCCTGAAAAATTGGTCTAATCTCTCACTGCACAGCTGGTCCAATAAAAGGTATCACTCAAAAAACCTTTGCCTCTTGTATAGCATTGTAAAACAGACACTTTAGAAATGTCACGTCTGAAGAAACTCTTAATAGAAACAAAGCTTCACTTTTAGGCCATTATTTCAACTACAAAGCAAGTTAATAAAGACTAGGAAACTGTTACCATCTGATGGTAAGGTGAACCAAGTTGCCCTCCATCCAATTGCCAGTGAACAAGTGTCCATACCAGGAAATGCTTCAATGGGAAACAGCTTAGTATTGTTGTAGGGTTCCAATAAAAGCAAGGATTGAATGGGTCCAAGAGAATCCTTTATAACTATCACTATGTATTGGAGGACAGCATGACAAAATTTGTACCACCATAGCTGCCCTAAGTATATCTGTTTGATAATTAAAAAGGATTGTTATCCAGTGATATCCCCACGCATGATATTTTTCATACACAATATTTACTTTTATGTCCGACTAATTTAAACACAGAGATTCAGACTCAGTTTAGGATGACAGGAAATCAGGCCCCCCACATAGTAAGCAGGATCTGAGAGAATCCCAGAGAAGCTACCCTTAGCACTTATGTATCTGTGCTTTTGCACAGCACTGCCTTTCTGTTTGCACAAGCAAGTAGCTTGAAACAGACTATGGCCACACAATTTTTTGTCAAACTGCTAATATCAGCACTGCCAAAAAATGCTTCCACATAGGAGCAAACAGATAAATGTACTGCATGGGTAATCAATCTCTGTTTCTGGAAGCAGTAAAGGGTAAAAAGTGAAAGAGAAAAGGGAATAACAGAAACACAGGATAGAGACAGAGAGAAAAACGTCATGACCAGTTTTCCTCATTGACACTATCTCTTGATAGAAAGATTAAGAGTTACGCTGTGAAGCAGCAGAGAACTGCGGGTGCTGCTATAATTACTTTTTTTTTTAATCTTGCAAATTGTACCTGAATTTCAATGTCTAACTATAACTATATATCCAGTATCTCTGAAAAGAAACAGGAAGGAAGTAATTTAACTATATCCTCCCAACTCCCTTTACTGGCTATATACATTTTCAATATCCTGAATATAAAGTCAGATCAGCATCTTGATTTATTATTAGGAGCTGAAGGTCATGGCAGGTCATCTGAAAGGCAGTTCTCCCTACACATTCATCTCATGATGTTGCCACAGAAATAATGACAAACAAGGGAATAAATATTCAGCATGTATTAAATTTTCTAGAACGTTAATGTCAAAAATAAAATCAGTTTACCCATGTCCACCACTAGTATATAAATATCATATGAGATGTGGACAACAGTTGAATGGTCAGAAGCCAACAAATAGGCTTTTCAGGCAGGAAGCTTGAGTATGAGGCTGTTCGATAGCCCTTTATTTTCTTCAAGACAAATCTAGTGCCAGAATAGTCAGTCAAATTAAGAAAGCAAAGCAGACTAAAAATAAGCCCTCCCAAGAATTCCTTCACTAACAAATATGGAGTTGAAAAACCCCTGTTGGGCTTACTAGTTGATCCTGACTTGGGAGACACAAGGTCTCAGACAAGAAATATAGTGATAATTTGAGCACAGAACAATTTTGCAGCTTACAGATTTTCACCTCAAATCTTCTTATCAAAATTATTCTATTTACACTGTGTCCTACAGACAGATCTGGGCCCGGATCTCTCTCTCTCTAGGCATTCAGTTAGTCCAGAATCAGACCTTTATCAGCCTGTTCCTGCCCCAATCTCTTATTTTAAGAATACAAATAATAAACATACCCATTTTTGGAATGAGTTCCTCATTAGCTCCTCTAAAGAAGCATATGTAGATAACAAGTCCTCTCTGAACCTACAAGAGATTTTAAAGAAGTATTATGCACTTAAATATATAGATATTTAAATATTTGCAGTTATTTCTAACATAGTACATCACCTGCATGCTAATCCAAATGTACTTGTAATTTACAATTTATTAATACACATTAAAATTAATGCAGCTAAAGAATTATTATCTCACCTCAAATAAGTTAGACATTTAATTTATTATCCATTTTGTTAATTGTTTGTTAATGGGTACAGTATTATATTTCCTTAACTATATATTTCCTATTTTTGTAAAGCTTTCTGCTTTACTCTTTCATATACTTTATTCTAGAATTCAGCAGTGTGCTATAGCTAAGGATGAGAAAAATAGGAACAACTCCTTCTAAGCTCTTATTTATATTTCTGTTGCCGAGTAATACATGTGTTTTGTGGCTAAAATACCATGTGCCGAAAACTTTTAGAAAGTTTTAAACAGCTCCTTTCAAAAGTTGATTTTGACCAAAGAGGAATAATAATGATAGTTTTATAAATGAAGACTTAACTACCAAATGTCATAAATTGTTTAAAAACTCAGAGTCTTCAAGAGGGTTATGTTTCATTTCAAATTACCTGCTCCTAACAAATGAAAGTGAGAGATACATTTTAAAGAGACTGCCAAAAGCTGTGATTACTCATAGCTGAAGCATGTCAAAGAAAAGGTAAGTGTTAGTTCCAAAACTAGACTAAGATTATAATTTTGGGATAGGAAAATAGAAGCCAAACCAGATATCGTATAAGTTCCTAATTAAAAAAAAAGACACAACACACCTGTAATAGAATTTTGATTTGATTTTTTTTTTAAATCACTGACTGTTGTATCCCTTGCTACTCCACCAAGAGAAACAATCACTGTATATAGAAGACAGTGTAAAAGACTGTCACAGCTCTGTTGAATCTCTGAGCATAATTTAAAGGTTGAGAAACTAGAAAGGAAATAAAAATAAATATCATTATTTTAACCACTGATTTGAGCCCTGACTTCTGATTTTTGAGTCCTTGGAACTGACAACTTTTAGTTATACAAGACAGAAATCACACCCACATTTTTTATAGCAAGAGGAGATACAAATAGAGTTCTCTCAATACCTGAAAAAGGCAAAGGGGCTGTGAGGTTGGGGGGTTATTAGAAGGCAATTATGGCCCCAATTCTTTAACAAGAAAGCTGCCAGGAAATCTTCAGCGTACATTAATGATTGAAAAATTCCAGCTCTTTATTTATTTGTGCTGTCCATTACTCCAATTCTAAAGTACATTTAAAAAAAAAATTCCTGACTACATGAAGTTTTGATAAACTAGACAATATTAGAAGCTGAAATAGCAACCATGTTATACCAAGTTTTCACATTTAACATCAAAGATCCAGCTATCTTTACAACTGTGGAAGTCTGTCTCCAATAAAAGGTACAAATGACAATGTTTAAAGCTTTCAGACTGAACCAAAACCACTGCCATTAATAAAGCACTTTGAAAGCAATCAAGGCCTAGACAAGAGCTTCTTTAATCACATCTTGAATACTGGAAAAGTCAAGCATTACCAAAGGAACTGAGACCTAGACAATCATTGATTGCGTAATGGGGACTGCATAGAAGCCAGAGTGTACTCGGGAAAATGACACTGGGAAACCATACTTTATACAAAATTTGCTGTTGTCAGTGGGGCTTAGGGGCTTTTATTAACAATAACCCTGTGAGATGGAAGTATTATTCTCATTTAACAGATGAGCAACTGTAGACCTTAAAAATTAACTTGCAAGCCTAACGTCATGAAAAGAAGCAGTAGCCAGAACCAAGAACTAAGCCCAGACTCTTAATTTGGTTCATTAACCACAAGAGATCTTTTTCAGTAAATAGGATAAAATGGATGAGGTACAGGTAGCAGCTCCCTGTACTTATACACACTGTCAGCCTTTACCTTTTATTTCCTCTCAATGTTGCAAAGATCTCATTTTATTTTTAAATAAATTGAAGATGATCTCTGTGTTTTCAGGTACTTTGCTATAAGACAGGGGTGGGCAAAACGTGGCCCAGGGGCCAGATGTGGCCCGCCAGGCCATTCTATCTGGCCCACAGGGCCCCTAAAAAATGTAGAAAATTAATATTAATCTGCCCTGGGCTGCCTGTCATGCAGCCCTTGATGGCTTGCCAAAACTCAGTAAGTGGCTCTCTGCCCAAAATAATTGCCCGCCCCTGCTATAAGACTTGGCTTATTGTAAATGTTGCATGTGTTCTTCTGATGTATGTTTCTCACAGATGGCAGAAGGCTGGGGCTAACAGGGCTTAGTCCCCGCTCCCCCAAATGCAGGGCATCGGTGGCAGCACAGAGGGCCATAGGGCAGCCTGGCTGCCAGCTGCAGTGGCGGGGAGGGGCGTGCACAGACAGACACGCAACAGCAGCCTGCAGAGGCGGCCAGAAATGGAGCGCCCAACAAGTAAGTCTGTGAAGGAGAAGGGGCGTAGGGACAGATCGAGGCCCCCACAGGGAGGGAGGGAGTGGAGCAGAGGCAGGGGCTGAGGCAAATGGGGCCCCGGGGCCTGGGCCCCATCATGGGACACTCGGAGCCCGGGTGGCTCGTCCAGGGCCATGGGGGGTGTGGGGGTCCCGCTGCTGTGCTCACTGGGGGGGAGGGGCACATGCACCCTCAGATTTGTGTCTAGGGCAGAGGCAGGCTGCCCGTTAGGCTCTGTGCCCCGCTGCTGCTGTCCAGGAGCCACACGCAATGCCATGTGCCTTCCGGCAGTGGCTGGCATGTGGCGTTATGCACAGCTCCCAAGCAATACCAATGGGGCTCAGAGCTCAGCCCAGTGGCAACCCATCTCCGCGACAACCCTGCAAAAATCAGGGGGGGGCATGTGCCCCTCCCACAGTGCGCATAGCAGCAGGAACCTCCCCATGCTTCCAGATGAGCTACTCGGGCTCCGAGTATCCCATGACCTGCCTCGGCCCTGGGGCCCCATTTGCCTCAGCCTCTGCCCCACTCCCTCCCTCCCTCACCATGGGGGCCTCTATCTGCCCCCACAAGCCTCTTCTCCTTCACAGATTTATCTGCTGGTGTGTGTGTGTAAGTATTTTTTAAGTTTTACTCAGCCCTCCCCAAATAATATTTTATCCCTCTACCTATAATGTTTCTCCATGAATAGGACCCCCCCCATTGCTGAAATGTTTACTACTCAGAAAAACATGGAACTATTATGAAGCATGTACTTACATGTATTCAGACCCTTCCTCAAGATAGAATGAATGTTCAGTGACTTGTGCTTTTGCCCTGAAAGGATCTACACTAATCCTATATCCTGCTTTTTTGAATATTTAGAAGTACAGTCAATTTTATTTCTATTCTACCTACTGTTGCTAAAAGTAATCCCTCAGTTTACCAGACAAAGAGAAAAAAAATATTTTTTTTTGCTTTTGGAATAACTGTTCTTCTGCTTTTGGAATAGCCACTTTCCTTCTACTCAGATACAAATGCCTTGTGATGTATGCTAGTGGATCTCTGCATCTGCACAGAGCCCCAACTGTTCACTGCTTCTTTGCAAGAGTGCTATCAAGGCACTATTTTCTCTTTTATTTTCTCCTTTCCCAAAAAAGGAGAAAAAGCTTTTTTTTTAAATTGAAAAATTATTTGAAAGCTACACATTAGTAATGAGAGGACTCAGAGGGCATGTAGAAAGCATCAAATTACTTTTTAACGCTTTTATTTAAATTGATTTCCAGTTGAGTTGCCAAATCCTTTGAATGAGTTAGCACTTCTACTCTTTTATGTTCAACTTGTATGTACCACATTCTTGCACTCTCAATTTCAGCAGTCCTTTCCAATAAGCTCAAATGATTAAGACCTAAACAGATGAGTTACTTGGTACAAGTACTCACAGGACAACAAGTACTGTAGGAATCAGTAGCTCTTCCACAGTGCTACACTTGATCCCTTCTTTGATATACAGCATCCCACAATTAGAAAGGTCCAGTATTATACTCATGTTTACTTCCTTCGTACCAATAGCCACTGGATTCTTATTGAATATAAATTGTAAATGTTACATAAAACCACCCAGTGGATACAATTCATAACCACTACCCTTTTGCCTGAAAGAAAGTAAAACAAAAATAAAGCAAACACAACTAAAAGCAATATGACCTGTGTACCAAAACCACTTAGATCTGGGTTTATTTGAAAGCCATTTTCCTTTGAAGCCTCAGGTAATGACTACTGTTGGAAATTAAATATTGGTATTAACAATTTTTATGGTAGAAGATATCCTACAATCTATTGCCACGTCTTGTATGGATGATAGATTTTCTAAAACATTTTCAAATAGAACATGCTGTTTGGGAAAGTTGCTGCTAAGGTAGATTTTTGTACAAAACACGTTTTGAGGGTGTCAGGGGTAGCCGTGTTGGTCTAGGGACATAGGCAGACAAGGTTCTTTGGGTAAATGTGATGTATTTAGTTGGTCTAATAGAAGATATTGCATTTACTCAAAGAACCCTGGCTGTAGAAAATATGGGAATTTATACAATATATTTCGCAGTTTTGAAACCAGAGGGCCAAATTCTTCCCTGTTGTACTCTACTTGAGTCACAGCAGGAGGGGGGGGGTGTATGTGTGTGTGTGTGTGTGTGTGTGTGTGTGTGTATGCATGCGCGCAATGATGGAGAGAGTGCGCGAGATATTGTAGATGTTTGACTTTTAGAATATTATTTGGTATTTTTTTAGTTCTGAGCTGGCAAAACCCCTTGCTGAAAGGAGTACTTCCAGGGGTAAGGGGAGGGACTTATGGTGGCAAAGATAGGGGGCTAGGGGGTGGGACTTCTGGTCCCAAGATGGCAACCAGGAGGTGGGGCACCTGTCAAGGGGTGGGGCTACCCATGTGGCCCCCCCAACAGCTTGTCAAAACTGGGTAAGCGGTCCTCTGCCTGAAATAAATGCCTGCCCCAAGCTACTACATCCTGCAAGTGGTTAAAGTAACAGTGCTCAACTACATTAGCTGAGGGCCTCCTTTGTAACATTTAATGGGCTGTCACAATACCATCAGCCTCTCGCTTCTGTCACAGTACAGACACCACTGTCTATTTTTCTGTGCATTTTCTATTTTCACTTAACAAAGCACAGGCTGAGTCAGTGTGACATATACCCACCTGTACCTGCAAAAACAAAAGCTTGAGCCAAGATGGTGCTTTTGAATCCTACACCCCCATCCATGAGTCACTCCCACATTAAGTGGCTGCAAAAATGATACAATTACTCAACAACAAATACTGATTCCTGTAGGATATAGCAGTCTTCCACAATGCCTCCTTTGATGTACAGCAGTGGAGCTCAACCTCCTGGCCTGTGAGGCAGATGAGGGCCATGAAGCTGGTCCACAGGCCAATCAGATCCTGCATGCCCAGATTGGCCCTGAAGTCCCCCCACCACCTCTCCCTGGCCCGGAACTGTGGGCCACATGCAGTGGCCCTGCACTACCTCCACTTGGCCCTGCATGCTGGGATCAGGGCCCTGTGCCTCCTCCACCCAGTCCCATGCACAGGGATCAGCTTCCAGGGACTCTGTGCCACCCCTACCTGCTGAGACTGGGCTCCTCATGGACCTGTAGGGAGCCCTGCAGGCCAGATGACATGGCAACAGGGCCCATATCTGGCCTGTAGTCTGTGGACTGAGCACCTCTGGTGTACAGCATCACACAATTGGTAAGGTATGGTATTATATTCATGTTTACTCCCTTAGCAGCTATAGTAGCTGGGTTCTCACTGAATATACAATTCAAAAAAGTTACAACTGGTTGTGGGGGAGTACTGATGATTCAGTTTCCTAAATCCATCTGATGCCCATTTTTTCTCCTGCCTATCAATGAACCCTGTCTGCCTTCAATCTCGCTGGTGTGTGGGGAAGGCCATCCATACGGGAACACAAGGGCAACATGAATTTCCTCAGGTTTCTGGCTGTGGACTCCAGCCAAGACAAATGATTTGTGTCAAACGCCTGCCACACACACAGCCCGCGCAACTGCCCTGGAAGAAAGGCTACATTCAGCTAAGGCAGACAAAGTTCTTTGAGTAGATGTGAGGTCTTCTATTAGACCAACTGAGTAGTTGGGAAAAAGTTCTTGGCAAGCTTTCAGGCACAGTCATCCTGCGCAGTCACCCAGAAGGGTGTGTGCACCCAAAAGCTTGCTAAGAACTTTTTTCCAACTACTCAATTGGTCTTAAAAAAAAGAGATGGGATATCTTTTATAAATTAATTTTTTTGTATTCCAAGCCAAATGAGCCAAAACAAATTCCAAATCCAAGAGTCAGTCCAGAACCATAACTACCAGCAAACATCCTCCACCCCCATTTTGGGGCTTCAGATGTTTCCAAAACCCTTGGCAGGCATCCTGCTTGCAGGCCCAAGCCCGGAGGCTTGGGGGTTGGATGCCCCGAGTTTTGCTTGCCCTCAGCCGTAACGCCCCAGAGGCAAGCCAGGGAGGAGTCTCCCATTTCCATAAAGTGGGCTTAAAGCCAAGGCCTTCCGACTCCAGCAGCTAAGTGGGAGGTTTACTGTACATTACCTTGGGAGATACTATCCCCCTGCCAGGAGCGCAGTCTTCCCCGGTGCAGCTAGGAAGATAGTCCCCGTGGTCACGGTGTTTCCCTTGCCAGGTAACCACAGGCTAGCTGGATCTGCGGCTTCAAGAGGCGGAGAAGGGATATCACATCTACTCAAAGAACTTTCCGCCTACGTCCTCAGACCAACAGCCCGGCAACCTTCAGCTAAAGAAGCGAACTTGCAGGCCAGGCGCCTGCTCTCTCTGCAGGTATCTTATTTAGCCTGTGAAGCGGCGGCTGCGAAAGCAGAGACGAAGGCAGGCAAACGTGGCAATCAGCAACCACCCGCCCGGCCTGGCGGGGAAGCGTGACCCTGGTGGCGCCCCCAGCGAGGAACAGCACAGCGGCGCGGCGGGCAAAGCCGCAGCCGGGGCGCCCACTCGGCGGCGGCGCCGGGCTCGGCGGCCTTCACCTGCAGCCGCGCGGACAGGCACTGCTGCAGCACGGCCCGCGCCACGGGCGCCCGCCTCGGCTCAGCCATGGCACGAGAGCGCGCCCCGCCCAGTGCGTGACCCGGTGGGCGGGAGCCGGGGTGTCCTTGGGAAGCGGGTCCTTCCTCCGCTGGGGGGGACGCCCCAGGCCGCAGCGATGGCGGCTCGTCCCGCTGCAGCGCAGGGGCCAGTGGGGAGTTCAGCCTTGTGCAGACGTGCCGGCTCTACCTTTCGTCACGTAAGAGCCGCTGTTAGCTGGGCCGGTCCGCTGCGTCGGGCAGCGGCAGAGAGAAAGGGTCTGACCAGCGTTGGTTCTGCTGCCTCCAGCAGGTAAAGGTCTAGGAAGATCTAACTCAAAGGTTGTGCCCCTAGTTCCCAGGTTTAATAGCCACTGATGTGCCTTTCCTCCAAGAATATGCCCAATCCTTTTTTGCATCTGGAGGCAAGAAGTTCCCGGCGGTGTGAAACACAGCTTCCTCTGTTAGTTTTAAATGTACGTACCTACTAGCTTCACTTTGTGACACCTAGTTCTCTTGTTGTGAGAGAGTAAGAAAGAAATCACTATTTACTTTCTCTTCACCGTTCAGGGTTTTGTAAGCTGCTATCATGTCCCTCCTCAAGTGTTTCTTTTCTAAACTGAGCACGCCTACCCTCTTTAGTCTCTCCTCATGTGGAAGCCTCCTCACACCACTCGTTATCTTTGTTGCCCTTTAGAAGCTAGAAAGAAGATCTTGCCCTTTCTGAACTCTATTTCTCGATCTCCTTTTCCCCCACTGTTTCCACCCCTGCTTTCCAGCCTGAGCATCTGGCTTCCTGCCACTCCATAATGAGCCTCTCTGTTCATTTAGCTGATTTAGACTGATTCAGTGAAGCAAGGAATTGCTTTGATTAGCTCCATTGAACTGAAGTTTTAGGACTACATTCAAATATGACTTAGGATTCAGACATGTATAGTTATTCATCCCGGATCCCGCACTTGAGTATCTAACCCACCCCATGCAAGCAACTCCTAATTCTGAACTCTGTTCCACTCTGGATAGGGAACAAGCTGGATCTAGCACTTACTGTTCAGGGACCTTTCCAGGCTGCAGCCAGCCATTACTGTTTTCCAAAGCACCCACTAAAGTGGGTGCTTTGGAAAAAAAAAAAAAATTCTCTTACACCAGAGAATTACAACACTAAAACCTAGAACCAGCTAGTGGAAACAAGGATCTGGTTGGTTAGCGAGTTTCAATCATCATCTTAATTAAACTACTGTATTTTCGCACATATACCCCGCACATGGAGACGGAGGGTGAAACCCCGCCACAGCCCCCCAGCCCGCCCGTGCCGCAGCCAGGGCACAGCGGGGAGGTGCCACTTGGCTTGGAGTTGCCTGCATAGCCCGCACCCATCATTTTTTAATGTAAAATTGTGCATAACCCGCGGGGTATATGCTTGAAAATACGGTACTTACATCTTTCTCTCCTGCAGCTCTCCCTAAATTATAGCAGCCAGGAGGAAGAGGTAGAGCAGGGGTGTCCAACCTTTTTGAATGTGGGGCCGGATCACAAATTTTTTATCACCCAGTGGGCCGGCAAGCCATATTCAAAGACCTCACAGGAAGTGGTATCACATCAGGAAGTGATGTCACGTGACCTTTGACACCAATGAAGTTGCAGAAAGCGACAGTGAAATGTGTCGGCTCCGCATGGGAACTTAGCCCATGCCTCTGTCCGCCCTGGCTGGCCCCGAGGTGCCCCCAGCTCCGCACGGGAACTTACCCCATGCCTCCGTTTGCCACGCACGTGGGCAGGGCTCAGGCCATGCTGCAGCTTCCCCGGCCACGTGCCGGGGGCAAGGGGCAGAGCCCATCCCCAGCTCCTCCAACCAGGCGCGTCTGGGGCAGCCCTGCTCCGCGCAGCCCTGGGGGCAGCTGCAACAGGACCCGGCTCACTGATGAGCCAGGCCCTCAGGGGTAAGCAGCTCCCCTCCCCTCACTGCCAGCTGGGGCCCGCGGGCCGGCTCTGCCCGCCTCGCTGCCGCCCCCGCTGCCG